TTTTCCTGGTGTGGTGCCGAGGACGTTCGCAGGGCCGATATATTTGGCTTTATTTGGTCTACCAATGCGCTTCATATTTCATCTACTTGACACACCGAAATTCTGGATGCTCTTTGTCGGTAGGGCAAAGTTATTAGGTTTTCTGGTTATGCGTTTGTGTTTTCAGTGCGCTTTGTGCTCGGAATGACAAATGTGCTTGCTTTCCTAAACTTCGCTAGAGCAGTTCGAAAACATTTTGGTGCTGAAACAGCCATGTTCTTGAGGTGGCCTATTTTTTCAGTAAAGATGTTCGTGGCAGGCATTGCTAAAAGTTACACATCAAATATCTTCAGGATCATAGTTGCGTCGCAATTTCACATGCTCTTCTATGCGTCCCGCCCACTTCCAAATTCGTTTGCATTTATTCTGGGTGAGTTTCGTCCAGCAAAGTGATACACATTACCATATTGTAGCAAAGAGCTAGTGCTCTGTTGATCGTAGAAATAGCCATCTTTATGTTACCCTAAAATCTTTCAGATAAGTCCGCTTTTTAAGGAAAATTGATGAAAATGCGCGTTTGCGCCGCCAAGAATCCTGCAGATAAGTCCTCCCATCACATAGGCCCGCCTACAGAGAAGTCTATCTAGTTTTATCTGACAGTCTTCGGACTTAGCTGACAAGATCTCAGGATAATTATAATGGAAAAAAAACGGACTTCTCTGTAGGCGGACTCATCTGAAGGTTTTTATCTGGGTCAAAAAAGCGGACTTATCTGATGGCGGATTTCTTTGTAGGCAAACTTATCTGATGGGAGGCATATCTGTGAGATTCCAGGGTACAAAATTGTGTCTCTGCACAATTCTTTGTTTTTAACACTATCCGCTTTTCTAGTTTCTTTTCAAACTGGCAAATCAAAATGTTTGTAAATCTGTACATCAGCAGTTTCCAATCTGCATGTTTCAATTGCCGAAAAATTCATAGACATTCCTATTAGAATTTTTATCACAATTCTAAAAAACATATGATCGGCTCCCAGATTCGTGTGGAGGCGGGTTG